CTCCCAGCGAGTCGAGGTGGGAACTTTATTGAATTTCTCGCGGGTCACTTTTCCGCATACATCGTCCTGAAGAATTCCAGTGTCGAAATTTCGAAAGATGAAACGATTCCCCGGAAAGCGTTGCAACACGAGATCCCAATATCGAAATAATATCTCGAGGTGCAATTCTCCCGAAGTGTAGTACAGCTGCGCCGAGGGGGAACTGTTATCCCGCAAAACAATACGCACACAGATGTATCAACGCACTCGCTCGACGTCGCACTCGCGACGCGACGATCTCTCGCGGAAGATCAGCGTCACGTATATGTGAAAGCCAAAACTTTTTTTACGTCCGCATCATCAAACTGATGCCGCAATTCCAGATAAGACTCGTAACTTATTTTCACGAGGATCGTAAGAACTTACGATTGGAACTGTAATTCTAGAACAGCGGAAAAATTTCGCGTTTAAAACGATCCACCGAAATTCTTGCGTTCTGCTTTAACAGGGTAAATGTGTTAAAAAGTAATATATTGACAGGATGAATATACGTTAATTTAACATATGTTTGTATATTTTTTTAATATATTTCCCACGTTAAAATAACACAAAAATTTCAGTGGACTGTTTTTAATGCAAAATTTCTTACCTATAAAATACATACGAAATTTACGATAACTCGTAAGTATCTACGATTTATCGCAAATCTTACGGTCAGCAAGAAGCTGTCTGTAAGTCACAAATATTATAGAAAATCGTTTAGCCGTCAAAAAATATATACATAACGTATGAATAAGAAATACTAAAATTACACATAAAACGTTTAATAAACATTTATTCTTCTATATGGACTCACATGAGCTTCATTGGATTCCCCGTGGTAATCCACCTGGAAATTATTAACAGGGACAGCTTGTCTATTGATCGATAATTTTGCAGCTCACGTATACGGATATTAAATCTTTACCGCAAGAGAATTTTTTACCCCCGATTAATATAAATTCTCAATTTAATAGAAGAATCAGAATTTTTTAATTCCACATTTAATTCTCCACTT